CCGTTTCTACGCTGGTGCATTAGACAAAAGCATCCAAGCAATTCATTTAGTTTAAATAAACAGTCCAATTCGTCAGTATATTTACGATATATTTTTTAAATGAGATGGTATATTTTGGTATATTTCTGATGGTCTGACGTTATTTTTTATCTATAAGTCATCGGTCACACTGCACACAAGAAACAAAAATATTATAATTTTGGGCCCCTACAATTCAAATCAAATTCAGTTTACAGCTAAGTGTTGACTTTCAACGCCGAATAAAAATTAATACAACAAAGTTTTAGACAATATAAAAACGAACACACATACAAGGAGGCATAAACGAAGGCCAAACGGATAATTGGAGATTGGATGATAAGGCAGGCGTGCCGCCGCCAGGTTCCGGGAAAAGTGAACTCTTCTCCGTACCAACGATGTCCCCCGCCTTTCTGACGTTGGTCGCCGTTGTCGTGTGCATACTGTTTCGCATCCTGAACGTGCACAGCCAGCCCCTAAAGCCGAGTGTCTGGTGCCTGGACGAGCAGTTCCTCGATTGCCTCTACAAAATAGCGCCTGTATTAAAAGAGCCGTAAGTACAAGTCGAGATACTTCCAGCAGCACACCGTATACCAGCGCGCCATATTCATACACCCCCTTTGGGCGTCAAACAGGCCCACGCAGGCCTCATTTCCTCCCCACTTATGTATGTACATACACACTTCTTGAGTGCGGAATCAAAACATAACATCAAATGAAAGCTATCTTATGGGACCGAAGCATTTGGTACCCTTGCAGATGCATTTTTCTTATGATAGCCGTATGATATAGTCTGTTCTTTATTGGTAACATGAATGTGGTTGAGATTTAATCAGAAGCAAACAGAAAGAAGTTATTCTTGAAAAGACTTTTCGTACGAACGTTTTTTCTTAACATATGTGATAGTGCTTCAATCCTGCTGCTCACCAATCTTTTGCCAAATCTTTCGAAAATCGTCACATCCTCCGAAAGGGTACCAACATAAATATCCACTGACTCACGCCACCGCCGCTCCGCTCAGCTGTTAACTGTGCCACCCCCTCATCGGTCTTACAGCCAGGCCAAAATGTTGGAAAACTGGAAAGCATAATTATCTCTCGACTGTCGTGCGGCCAGCACTTCAGCGAATTGTTAATAAACTATCTGCAATTATTACAAATTACTACATTCATCATTTGGTTAAGCGAAAGACAATTTTTTAAAATATGGGAATGCTAAAAACCTGCACAGTGGTCGCATTGTAAGAATATCCCAATTTCTGGCGACTTCGAATTCCTATAAATGTTTTTTTATACCCGATACTCAAAATGAGTATTGGGGTATATTAGATTTGTGGTAAAAGTGGATGTGTGTAACGTCCAGAAGGAATCGTTTCCGACCCTATAAAGAATATATATTCTTGATCAGCATCAATAGCCGAGTCGATTGAGCCCTGTCTGTCTGTCCGTCCGTCCGTCTGTCCGTCTGTCCGTCCCCTTCAGCGCCTAATGCTCAAAGACTATAAGAGCTAGAGCAACGATGTTTTGGATCCAGACTTCTGTGATATGTCACTGCTCCAAAAATATTTCAAAACTTTGCCCCGCCCACTTCCGCCCCCACAAAGGGCGAAAATCTGTGGCATCCACAATTTCGACGATACGAGAAAACTAAAAACGCAGAATCGTAGAAGATGACTATATCTTCCAGAGTGCAAAATCTGAACCAGATCGTATAATTATTACAGCCAGAATCACGAAAACAATTTCACTCTTTCTCGCTCTGTCTCACTCTAACACACAGGTTTCATGGTCGGTTTTGCCAATTGCAAAATATGAGTTCAAGGATCTCAGAACCTATAAAAGCCAGAGCAACCAAATTTGGTATCCACACTCCTGTGATATCGAACCTTGACCGTTTCATGTCCAAATTTCGCCACACCCCCTTCCGCCCCCGCAAAGGACGAAAATCTGAGGCAACCACAAATCTCAGAGACTATTAAGGCTAGAGTAACCAAATTTGGTACACACACTCCTTTAAGATGTCACTATAAAACGTATATCTCAGAATTTCGCCCCACCCCCATCCGCTCCCACAAAGGACGAAAATCTGTTGCATCCACAATATTGCAGATTTGAGAAAACTAAAAACGCAGAATCATAGATAATGACCATATCTATTAGATTGCTGAATCTGGATCAGATCAGATCATTTTTATAGCCAAAAGGAACAAATCAATTTGCAGTGGCTACGCAGCGCCCGACGTCACGCTCAGACTGATTTTCTGTCTCTCTCGCACGTACTCTTTGTCGTGTCGTTAAATATTAGCGGCGTCTGCCGGAGGAGAGCCATACTGACTTAGTATCGGGTATAACTCTAGAGTTGCGGTGTCCGCAGCAACTCACAACGTTCCGGCTCGTTTTTTCTGCAGTGGATGCCATTTATGAAAAGGGAAATGGAGGCGGGGACTATGATATACCCGACAAGTACTCTTCAGAACTGATTCACACACAGTTAAAACTCCTGGAGAAGGTCCTACCCAAGCCGGCGACTGGCAAAGCCAAGGAATCCTCTGCTGCAGTGCCTCAAGCACATAGAAATGCTCCATCTACCAGTGACACTGCGTCATCTAGCTCCTTTAACAGTCATGCAAGTACCTCTTCAGCTGCTGCTAGGGACACCTCGAATTTGGCCAAAAAACAGAAACTGGCAGAGCGCAACATCCGGGATTACATTCCCGTCGTCGTGGAGAAGGGAGGAATGGCAAAGAAGCTGGAGCGTGCCGCTCCCTACAATATGTTCCTCACGGCCATCACGGACTCGAAGCCCACGCACCAGGAGCCGCTGAGCGTGACCCTCCAGGAGATACTCGACGAAAGCCTGGGCGAGATCGAGAGCAGCGTCCAAATCAATTTTATGGTGGACATTGGCTGGCTCCTCGGACACTATTACTTTGCAGGAATACTGTAAGATCTACTTGAAACCATTTAATCCATTAAATAATCATTGGTTTATACTTTAGGGACAAACCCCTGTTGGTTCTGTATGGAGACGAATCGCCGGAGCTTTTAGGTATTGGAAAATTCAAGCCCCAGGTGGTGGATAAGTCCGCTTCTTCCAGCATTGTCCGAGGATGCAGATACGGCAGCAGGAGAAAGTCTGACTGGTTTCAGGCAGGATCTCATGCTGTATCTGGTAGAGTACAAGATCAGCCAACTGCAGCCATGGATAGCGCGGATTCGAAAGAGCGATCGTATTTGAAAAAGGATCTAAATTAACTTTCAAATTTCCTCTTTCTTCAGTGTCTTTTTTGTGGGCTCCGTACCTGGCGGCCATCGCGAGGGTTCGGTCCGTGGTCATCCCTGGGGCCATGCCCGTCTGGGCTCGCTGCTGGCCAAGCACGCGACACCCATAGATGATCGCATTCCAGTCGTTTGCCAGAGCTCTAGCATTGGCAGCCTGGGCGCAAATGTGCAGGCCTGGATACAGCAGGACTTTGTCAACAGTCTGCGCAAGGATTCCTCTCCTGGTGGAAAGCTCCGCCAGATGCCACCCTTCAAGATGATTTACCCGAGCTTCAACAACGTTTCCGGCAGTCACGATGGAATGATCGGAGGCGGTTGCCTGCCGTATGGAAAAAACACCAACGACAAGCAGCCGTGGCTCAAAGCCCATTTACAGCAGTGGAAGTCCTCAGATCGTCATCGCTCGCGGGCCATGCCACACATCAAGACTTATTCGCGCTATAATTTAACCGATCAGTCGATCTATTGGTTCGTGTTGACCTCGGCGAATCTCTCTAAGGCGGCCTGGGGCTCCTTTAACAAGAATACGAATCTACAGCCTTGCCTGCGAATTGCCAATTATGAGGCGGGTGTTCTTTTCCTCCCAAGATTTGTGGTCAGTCCGTGCTTAGCCCTGTAAAATGGCAGGCTCTTCATTAATTGATTGTATTTTTCAGACTGGCGAGGATACTTTTCCTTTGGGAAATAATCGTGAGGGGGTGCCAGCCTTTCCATTGCCTTATGATGTACCTCTCACGCCTTACTTGCCCGATGATAAACCATTTTTGATGGATTACCTACAAGGATAAGGTTTATAGCCGGAACTTCTGTTTGAATTTCTGCAATTAAAAGTATTGGTTCATTGGATTCCCAATAACAGAATTTCCGTTTCTATATTTTGTACCAGCGTGAGCTTAAGACATAGCTTATACATAGGATAAGACTTTTTTTTCATGATATATATATATACCGAAAACATAGCATATATTATTATTCTTTATTAAACTATGCCCTTTGAACTAAAATGATATTTTCAAGAAATAAGAGAGATAGATGGTCCAAAAAGGGGGAGAATTTTTACTTCAAGATAAGTTATGGAATTTAAGGATCATGGAGAACTCCACAAAGAGAGTGAATAGAAGATCCGGCGGCTCAATAGGAGGAGGAAGAAACTTCGCATTCCTATATAATGTATATATTTTTAGACCTTTAAGATTATTTTAGATTTTATGCAGGAAAAATGATTTTTGAACCACGCTCACCTAATTTTATTTTCAAAATAAAGCGCCGATAAGTTCTGCCGATAACTACTATCTCTCTTATATGAAATACACTAGCGAGAGAAGCGGTTACACTGCCAGTTTAAAAACCATGTCTAGCTCACACACCTTGCTAATTTTATACTCTTCAAATTATTTTCTTGTATGTTCCAGGAACGCGGAATTCGGGTTATGGCTCTAAATGGCATTTCTACACCGTTTCTACGCTGGTGCATTAGACAAAAGCATCCAAGCAATTCATTTAGTTTAAATAAACAGTCCAATTCGTCAGTATATTTACGATATATTTTTTAAATGAGATGGTATATTTTGGTATATTTCTGATGGTCTGACGTTATTTTTTATCTATAAGTCATCGGTCACACTGCACACAAGAAACAAAAATATTATAATTTTGGGCCCCTACAATTCAAATCAAATTCAGTTTACAGCTAAGTGTTGACTTTCAACGCCGAATAAAAATTAATACAACAAAGTTTTAGACAATATAAAAACGAACACACATACAAGGAGGCATAAACGAAGGCCAAACGGATAATTGGAGATTGGATGATAAGGCAGGCGTGCCGCCGCCAGGTTCCGGGAAAAGTGAACTCTTCTCCGTACCAACGATGTCCCCCGCCTTTCTGACGTTGGTCGCCGTTGTCGTGTGCATACTGTTTCGCATCCTGAACGTGCACAGCCAGCCCCTAAAGCCGAGTGTCTGGTGCCTGGACGAGCAGTTCCTCGATTGCCTCTACAAAATAGCGCCTGTATTAAAAGAGCCGTAAGTACAAGTCGAGATACTTCCAGCAGCACACCGTATACCAGCGCGCCATATTCATACACCCCCTTTGGGCGTCAAACAGGCCCACGCAGGCCTCATTTCCTCCCCACTTATGTATGTACATACACACTTCTTGAGTGCGGAATCAAAACATAACATCAAATGAAAGCTATCTTATGGGACCGAAGCATTTGGTACCCTTGCAGATGCATTTTTCTTATGATAGCCGTATGATATAGTCTGTTCTTTATTGGTAACATGAATGTGGTTGAGATTTAATCAGAAGCAAACAGAAAGAAGTTATTCTTGAAAAGACTTTTCGTACGAACGTTTTTTCTTAACATATGTGATAGTGCTTCAATCCTGCTGCTCACCAATCTTTTGCCAAATCTTTCGAAAATCGTCACATCCTCCGAAAGGGTACCAACATAAATATCCACTGACTCACGCCACCGCCGCTCCGCTCAGCTGTTAACTGTGCCACCCCCTCATCGGTCTTACAGCCAGGCCAAAATGTTGGAAAACTGGAAAGCATAATTATCTCTCGACTGTCGTGCGGCCAGCACTTCAGCGAATTGTTAATAAACTATCTGCAATTATTACAAATTACTACATTCATCATTTGGTTAAGCGAAAGACAATTTTTTAAAATATGGGAATGCTAAAAACCTGTACAGTGGTCTCCCTTGGCCTCAACCCTAGTTATAGAATGTTGTAAAATACTTTCTAAGTGCGCTTGGAAATGGAAAAAATGGAAATTTCTTCGGTGTTTTATTTTACTTTTATTCATTAAGTCTGCCGAATTGCTTTGAGTCAACTAAGAGCAATAAAAGCCCAAGCCAATTTCAACCAGAAACTAAAAGTGCTTGGTTTATGGAGATGTATCAAATTATATATTCAACATTTTTTTTTTCTTATTTCACAATTCATTGAAAATTGCCAATTTTTTAAGTTAAGCCATCACTGTATTATTCAATGCACAAAACACATCACTTTCCCAGGCAAACATTTTCACATTGTAAATGAATCATTAAAAGTAATTACTCAATTTAACATGTTGACGTTCCTTGCCGCTTAAATATTTAATGAATCTTTTCAGTATCTCTACTGATAAGTTTTTGGCGATAGTCGATAGTATATATGTACATATCTGTCATGTAATCAACTGCTTTTGCGGTTTTATTGATTGTCTGCATTTGCTTTTATTGACAGATATTTTCACTATCAGATTTCAGTATTCAATATTGTAACCACAACTGTGTGCGAGAAATGTCATTGTAGGCATGTGCGCTTATATGGTACGGCCGGATAATTATAGACTTCTTGAGGTTTACGTTATCGCTTGAATAATAACCCCTGACTCAGAAGAGTCAAGATTCAGTCTTACATACATATGTATGTATGTACATCTGTATGTATAAGTACATATGTACTAAGAATAGTGTACATAGAAATGTGCCAATAGGTTATCAATATTAAACATTTTTATAAAATATTATTTTAAGGTAATTTTTCTTGCAAACGGTATCTTAAAGACTAACATTTTCCGTTGGTTGTTTTGGGCGTACGCCTGAAAATTTCACGCCGTGTTTTATCTCTGGTAAATCCGTAAATGTTTTTGGCATTTCTTTTTCCCTGTCGCTGTCCAATCGGAAAAAGTAAATGGAATTTTGTTTAATCTTTTTCGGACAATTTTTTGCTTTTATTTGCTCTGTGTCTGCCAGAAATCGCGATAAGCTTGAGCTCTCTACCAAAGTCCACATCCATAATTACGCAGTGGGCTAAGAAAATAGCGACGACTAACGCCTAGCAACCGCATACGGTACGATACGAGGAGTATTCCGCGTAGCGCTATGACCCGCATCAATCAACCAACGTGGGGCGGGGTATCGCGTGGGAGTTTTCCATCAGGAAAATACCCATGGAATAGAGTAACTGGAAATGTACAAATGTGCGCTCGTATCTATCAAATATACGGAAAAAATCATTAGCTTAATATCCTTGTCTGTCCTTATGAACACCTGAAACTTTGAGGATTATGAGTGGTAGAATGGCTTTTCTAAAATTTGAGTGTACATGTGTGTAGTTTGTTTTTATTTCATTTGGGAATTTCCGAGTACTCTTCGTTCCACTTTTGTATAGAATTTGAGTACATATGAACCTTTGCGCATACAGAAAATTGTTAAAAATAATATTTTAAGTTTTAAATATCGCGCAAGGCATATTAGTATCACCCTTCAAAGATTTGTAAAGATGGCACATACATATTTGTATGTACATATGTATATATGAATATGAATGAGAAGTTAACAGAAATGGAAACAAAATTATCGTTTCTTTATGAGTGAGGTCTGGACCTGTTCGCACCTGTTGAACTGCCATTAAATTGCTTTCTTGTTAATTTGTTCCCAAGTTTTTTTTTTATTTTTATTAAGGGATAGAGCCGATAGCCCATAGTCGAAATACGAACAAAATCATTTTGGTATGATTTATTTCTGATAACAAAAATGCCGGCTATGCACTATGAATTTTCTCAGTTCCCCTTGAACATTTATATATAGAACGTACAATGTAGATTGTTTTTCAAATGCCGGCGGGATGCCGGGTGCTACCTGTTTTTCCCGCTTTGGCGCATTGCCCAGACTTTTGTTTAACAACAAAGATTACGTAAGCAGAATACTGATGGGTTGGTCACCGGTCTCCCTGCCCTCTCTCTTTCTCTACACCATTATAATTCTCACGTTCTATTTTCAAAAGAATAAACGGGTTGGAAGATGATTTCAGGTACAAAGCTCGGGTGTCTCTGCCACTCGGACACTCTTTCCCTCTCTCTCCTGATTAACTGCTGCCTTGGCACAGTGGGTTGCAAAAATAACAACAACAATTGCTGAATAATACTGAAAGGGGTGCGACATGATGAGTCATATGCGCTTTTATACCCTTGTATAGAGGGAATTCTGGGTTTTGCCAGTGTTTTGGCTAGGCAGAGAATTTTTATCTGACTGAGACATGGTCTAAACGTTTATTTTTTCTGCCAAAGGTAAATGTAAAAATGTTGGAAAAATGAATCAAAATCAAATCAATCATAAACCAGGCCAAGGGTGTCTAAGGTGTCGGTCCCCTAAAACTACCTTATCTTTTCTGTTCTAGTTGTTTATTTCTTTTGGCATGTACATATGCTTTTATTTTTTACTGTCGTCGCGAAGTGATGACATTAAACTTGCCAGCTCTGGAAATAATTGCAGCTGTTTCTAGCAAAGACATTTTACCAGAACATTACGATACTTTACGACACCGTAAATAATGTATGTATGTGCTAACGTATGTAAATGTGCTTTTAATTAAATGATGAATATTTGATGAAAATTGATTAGAGTTGGGGAAAATGCAGGATAGAAAATGATTAAAAATGTATTGCGAGTCGAGCACATTTGTGCATGTTCCCAGAGTAGCTACGCCCCCATCCGCCGACCCTACCGCTCTCTCTAAAATTTCATTTTGATTGATAATAATTGAATGGTAAGCGTTACTTGAAATAGATGGCACACACAATGGAAACACAAATTGTTGCACGTTTTTGCACGCCTGACAACAATGGCCCTGATTTCAGGTCGTCTCTTTCTCTCGCCTCTATCTCTCTCTGTCGCTCAATTAGGTTCAATTGATTCTAATGCGGTTTGGGCTTTAGAATTCTATCTTTTGTAGCTTTATTTTTGTCTCTTTAGCTTTAGTATATAAATCCCCCATGATTCTAGATTCTGGCCACAAATCAAAAGATGATTATAAATAATCAAATTTGGCAAATAGCCTGGAAATAAATTGCATTCATTCATTGCACAAAGTCAAGGTCCAAAAAATGAAACCAAAAACAGCAAAAAATCCAAAAAAGCATGATGCATCGGCCGGGAATCGAACCCGGGCCGCCCGCGTGGCAGGCGAGCATTCTACCACTGAACCACCGATGCTTGTGTAGGTTTGAAGGCCAAATGTGAACTTAGAAAAATGGCCAACGAAGCAGATAGAAAATGTATGTATTTTTTTCCGATTTTTCCAGCTATGTACCTCCGCGACTCTGGGGCTTTAGTGGTCATGTGCAAACGGTTTTGCACAGCATTGTTGGACGAGTACGTTGCCCGTGGCCCTTGGGAGAGCGGGTCTATCTCTCCCTGCGTGATGGCTCCACATTAACCTACGACCTTTACCAGCCCCTCCACGAGCAAGAGGGTAAGCATAACCATCAATCAATTTTCTTTTCATATCTTAAACTCTGGTTACCCTTTCTAGACGATATAACCGTGGCCATTTGTCCCGGCATAGCTAACAGCTCGGAATCGGTTTACATACGAACCTTTGTTCACTTGGCTCAATGCAATGGCTATCGCTGTGCGGTACTGAATCACATTGGAGCTCTGCGCAGTGTCCAGGTTACATCGACACGCATCTTTACTTATGGCCACACCGAGGATTTCGCCGCCATGGTGGAAAATTTGCATCAGAAATATTGTCAGAGTCGAATTGTAGCGGTCGGATTTAGTTTGGGCGGAAATCTGGTCACCAAATACATGGGCGAGATGCAGAAGCTCAAGCCACTCAGCGTCATCGGTGGCATATCCATATGCCAGGGCTACAATGCTGTAGAGTGAGTGGGGGTGAAATTACGATTATAGAACTAAACGAATCTAATCTTTAATTCCCTTTTTTAGGGGAACCAAATGGTTGCTGAATTGGCAAAACTTCCGACGCTTCTACCTATACATTATGACGGAGAATGTGAAGAGTATTATCCTGCGACATCGCCACATCCTGCTCTCCGATGAGGTCAAGACACGTCATAATCTGAACGAGCGCGAAATAATTGCAGCGGCAACTTTGCCAGAACTGGATGAGGCCTACACAAGGAAGGTCTATAATTTTGGCTCCATCCAGGAACTGTACAAATGGAGCTCCTCGCTGTTCTACTTTGATACAATAGAGAAGCCGATGATATTTATAAATGCTAGGGATGATCCATTGATACCAGAGGAGTTGTTGCTGCCCATCAAGGAGTATGCAAGTGAGTACCAGAAATAGTGTATGAATATGAAGAACATTGTATGGAATCTTTTTGATTCGTAGTTCGTTATCCATTAGAACATATATATCTAACATCTTAATCGGCTTATCAGATACAACGAAAAAGTGGGCCTACAACTCTTTGGCGCCCAACTTTAAATATAACTGTCAATTCAGTGTTGTGTAACATATGATAGCTAAAGATAGCTAAAACAAGGTTGTGTGTGTGCTCTATCTGCCATAAGTTGGCATTCTGCGCCACCCCATCAACAAGCAGCCGTGGCCGAGCGGTTAAGGCGTCTGACTAGAAATCAGATTCCCTCTGGGAGCGTAGGTTCGAATCCTACCGGCTGCGTATTGGGAACATTTTTTAGGGCCCGACTTTTTTTCGTTTTAATGTTTCTATGTTTATAATACTAATTTTTGTTGTTTTTTTTTTTAATTATTACAGTCACACGACAGAATACAGCCTACGTAGAGGTGGCCCATGGCGGACATCTGGGCTTCTACGAGGGCGGTTTCCTTTACCCGAATCCCGTCACCTGGCTGGATCGCACACTGGTGGCCATGGTGGGATCGCTGGTGATGATGCACGCTGATCTGGGCAAGGGCAACACAAAACTATAAAAAGTTTTTGCGTGAAAATCGGATGCCGCTATCTAAATGAATCTTAATCAAAGGGAGAAACCGAACGGAAACAAATAGAACTTACATATAATAATTGATGTGAAGCAACTTAAATTATCACCAATGGAAACAGGAAAACCAAAATTGATGTATACTTTTGTAAAGTGCATTTAAAAATGAGAATAATTTATTACCAGAATGTTTTGAACAGTTTATGGGTCAACATTAACGTTTTATGAAATTTCGAAAAGCCAAGCATATAATGTGTCACCCCAACTTATATTTTAGTTAGTTTATTGATGTAATACGTATGTACCCATGTACTTATAAGCGAAATTCCTATTTATTAGCATTCTAATTTCTAATCCCGCAGGGTGTAAAATATTTTTTATATGGCGACTGTACACAAGACACATACACATACCACATACCAGACACACACGATATTCATATATTTGATGCCAGTAATTATAAATTATAAGTCCCCAGTCGAAAACGCACAAACACTCGCACCATATAAAATAGAACAACCAAATGCCTTATTGTAGACTTCGTTTTATATAAGTGTATATGATTTTTGAATAATTTTATATCATTTTGTACTACGATGCATTTCGAGTCAAAGAAAGAAACCAAAAAGAAAGTTCGCCCAACGATGGCTACGATTTTGTGTACTTTTTCTGATCTTTACCAGTTGTTAGTCGCAGACAAGATTTGTTTGTGTTACAGTGTTTGCAAAAAGTGTGTGAGCAATGAAAAATACATATGTAAGTATATGAGTGTATTTATAAATGTATTTGTAAATGTGTATTTATAAATGGGTATGTAAATTTATGAATAAATAACAGTTGACTAAACAGTAAAGCTTTTAAACGAGTGGAATATTTCAATGGAACATTTAAACTATATGTGTATATATATGCACATATGTGCATCGCTATTTATGCCATTTTTACCACATATGCATATATTTTAATATCAGCAAACTTTTTGCGATCACTTCATTAGTTCTAGCTTCACTCACAAATTAGCTACCTATTAGTGCATCTATTTTTCTGCGTCTCATACAGATTAGATAACTTTAAATATCTACAGGATACGATTATTTTTTTCCTAAACTATTTCTACAGTATTAACATAATGTTATGTTAACATATCTATGTTATTTAGTAATTTTATTGTGGGTTTCTTTTTTATGCGGAAAATAGGCATTTTGCGCCACCCCATCAACAAGCAGCCGTGGCCGAGCGGTTAAGGCGTCTGACTAGAAATCAGATTCCCTCTGGGAGCGTAGGTTCGAATCCTACCGGCTGCGTTTCGTCGGATGTTTTTCATTCCTTTTTTTTTTTAATATTTCATTAAAAATATACTGAAGATTTGATTTAATTAAAATTTATTAAGATATCAAAATTTACAAAACTGTGTCGGACAGGTTTCTCGGCAGCAACAGTTTTGGCCACACTTGGTGTTGAGTCCTTCGCAATAGTCCTTTTCGAAGTTAAAACTAAGCAAAGCTGCCAGGATAAATCGTATATAGTTAAAAATGTACATATAATGTCTAGATGGACTTACGTGCCAAACCGTTTGCGATTCTTCCCTGGTTTCTCGTTTGGAGGGTACATTCGCTGATGCACTCCATGTTGAAGCGCTGTCCGTTCGAACAACTGGTGTCAAGGAGACAGCGGTCCGTCGCGGTATTGGAGCAAACAGTCCCAGCATTGGGTGCCGTATAAACGCAGTGGGGGCCGCAACAGGTATTATCACGGGGCGGAAGTTTCGGTTCCACCCTGCCATTGTCGGAGCAGCCATTTAGGCCGACAAAGGCTTGGCAGGCCTGCGAGCAGCCCGAGACCTCGACCAAAAGAAGAGTCGCCAAAATTTGGAGCAGCATACAAATGCGTGTGGCCTCCATGTTGGATAAAGAACAGTCAGTCGATCGTGGTATATCGCTCGCTTTTATACCCTCCCAATCACTGGTTTCTCTGGTGTTTGCACAAATGTTGTCGGTCAAAAATAGACCGAGAAATGGCACGAACCGCTATAAAAGCGGCTTGTACTCATCCAATCAACCTAAGACGTGATCGGAATGGCTGTGAAGGTTCTGTTGGGTCTGCTGCTCCTGCACATTGCCACCGAGGTGGCATTCGCCTGCACAAACAGCCTCTGCCCGGAGGTCACAAATACGAATTCCCTGTGTAGCGGAACGCTGCGCTATCAATGCGTCTGCGACTTCACCTGCTCCGAGTGGGACAAGCCCTGCAATTGGTGTCTCACTTGTCCGGCGGAGATCCAAAGTATCAACGCGGTTCGCAATCAAAAGAACAAGCTACGTAAGTTCATCCTTAAAATGCATCTTTGATAATATATATATGTATATTTATATAATCATTAATTTCTATTTCAGCTGTTTTTGGACTACCCAATCGCAGCCATAAGCAGTGCCTGGACATTAATATCCTGACAAATAAGAACTCCAATTGTTGTGACAAGTTCTGCCAATTGAATTGCAAAGATGTCTGTTTCTAAATAAATTGTTTAAAGTATTTAAAGTATTTGATGACGTTGAATGGGGCATGTCAAATGTTACAAATTATTATTATTATTATTGCACTTCGATCATTTATTGATATTTTGTATAGGCCTGTAGGATTACTGTGCACTGGGGCACTGTTGCTCCCCAAAATGTTGAGATATTTTTCTGTAGAGCGTTATTCTATTCCCTTCATTTCAAAGAATATACTGGAGTCTAGCTCTACTACTTATTACTACTTATTAAAGTTTGAGAAACCGAATATTTTGAGAACCGAACTTCTATTCAAAGAATAGTTATACTTAGATGAGTGATTTCATATTCGAAAACATAAGTACTCGTACTTCCTGCAATTCATGAATATTAATTGAATTGTTTGAATAACATGGTGTTCCAGCACTGGGTGTTGGGGCCTGAACTAGATATTTGTAGTCCAGAAAAGAAAGTCCATTGAGATTGGAGATCATAAAGCTACTAGAGCAAGGATTGATCTGTACGGATTCCAAGAGCTGCGTATCCTGAAGATAACCATTCCTTCTCTGTTGAGGTTTGATCAAGTGTAATATTGGCATGGACTGGACTACAACTTTTTTGTACAGATGTTGCTGCTAGGTTTGTTTGCTCAATGGTGCGTTTAACCTTGGATTGATCTGTAAGGATTCCAAGACCTGCCTATCCTAAAGATAACCATTCCTTCTCGGTTGATGGCATGGACTGGACTACAACTTTATTTGTACAGATGTGCGCTTGTGCCCTTGACCTTGAAAAATTTAATCAACAATTAACAGATGTTTTTTTGACAACTTGTGCATTGATCGATAAATAAATGCAAATAAACGCTATAAACGTACTGGGACTGGTAGCCAGTTTCTTCGATTATACTCTTATATGCAATTTACCAATATATTCCAGACTCCGTCTAGGCAATTTCGACATAATAACGAATGTTCTAGATGTTTTCATACTTTACCGTCCGTTAGATCCTTCAAGTAGACTCCTTTGCAATTCCTTGACTAGACTAGATAAGTGTTAGTCTTGTATTCCAAATGTATTATTTATTTATTTAGTTTGCGTATATTCAAGGTTCATGCACACACATAAGTATGTTTAGTTTCAATAGTTCTTACAACTAATATTTTAGATGTTAGCTACTTATGGACTACTGATTAATGTCTGTGAGTGCTTTGCCTAACACGTATGTATGTACAAATGAATGTACACTAGTCGATTTAGTTAACATTAAATGTTTTGTTATTGGTTTATACAGCTTAGTTGAAACTACAACTATCATTAGGCTTAGGACTAGTTTAGATCATACATTAGCTTTTCAGCATTATTGGGTTCCTCGCAGTCGAATGAGGCCATCATTAGTTCTGCAACAAGACAAAACATACAGTCGTTAGTGGAAATTATCAATATTATTTGTCTCAAAATAGTATCAGCAATGGCACAAGTTTCGTTACTGCTTATGATTGTGGGCCAACGAAAAATCAACAAAATAACAAAAGTGTTATTTAAGTTTCTGTGTCCACTTGATTGAAATGGACACTCTAGCGGACATAGGAATACCCACACACAGTACACACATAATCCAAATTGTCCGAAAAAATCTCAGTGATGCGTGCCGAAATGTTTGATATTTGTATACCCTCAAAAGAGGTATCGTGATTTAGGGGAAGAATGGCACTTCCTTCGACACTATCATAAATGGAATTGTTGAACAGACTCTCTAAAAATGGCTAAACGGCTATACCTTCAAGGCTAAACATAGAACTAAAAACTGTTGATCGCTTATTCTTTGCACAGAAAAATATTTGAAAAATCGAAGAGTGTTTAAGACTACGACTATCTACAAATAGCATTCCTTTTCCATGTTTTTTGTCGGCTATGCTTCCAGTCCGGCACGTGTTCGATGGTGTGCGATGGAGCCTTGAGGGCCCGTCATTTGCTTAGAGACTTTTGGGCCAACACAGTTAAAATTTATGAAGCCAGAAAGTAGCAATATTTAAATTAGATGTTCACAATTGTGCGAAACGATTCGGCTCGCCCACCAGCCGGAACTTCAATTATCATTTTAATTTATTCAAGGGGATTTTTCGCTTTAAGGAATTTGATTTGCATATTCTCGGGCACAGAGAGGGATAAATGTATGGAGTGGAACTTTCAACCGAGATTTGTTTGCACCTCTTGAAAGTCAGGCCCCTCCCCATACATCGTCATAATCCCGAAAACCGTTTAAGTAGAACAACTTGAACGGGAAATCTTGTGGGGAATGGGTTAGCCAGCGGTCAAGTGCTGACAAGTGGGGGTGTGTTTTTTCAGGGCACTACTCTCTGCCGTTTTAATAGAAGGAAACTTAATAAAGTTGTACGAAAAAATATTGTATGAAAATCTGTGTGAAAGTGTGAGAAAAGGAGGTTGAGTGGGACGGACAGGAGTTGGGAATGGTGCGGTGTCCAATTCACACCATGAGCCCATTAAAATTTTACAATGTTTGGGGAAGCAGTCTCGTTTGGTCAGCGCTTTCGGTCAACAGATGTGCGCTTGACTTGCCACAAAATGTGGCATGCCTCTGCAGGCCATCCTCTGTCCTGTGTCCTCTATCCCTGCCTCCCAGTGTGTTTATAGGATTTGTGTTCACATACTCTCCGTATGCTTGGGAAAAAAAAACTAAAAAGCATCCGCCTGGAACATCGTCTGAAAATTCTCTCCAAGTTCTGCTAACAGCAAAGCCCCTGCCCCTGCCACATGAATATCTACCCACTCAGCACCCCTTACAATGAAAGAAATGTTGCCTCTGGCTATGGAACAGCAAAAGCCATGGCTCTGCTTGGCATCAACTTTTTTCCCTTAGCCCTTTTTTCCCTTGTTTTGTTTTAATGGAGTCGTGTGTGGCGTGTAAATATTTTCCCCTTTTCTGGGGGCTTAAAGATTTGTGAGGCGGCTCGGTTTAGTTTTGGAACTTGTTTTTACGGCCTGCAAGCATGGTGGGCTACCATACCACACCATAACTGGTAGTGTCCAACGAGCGGCTAAAAGCCTGGGAGCCTAAAAATATGAGATATTAAACCTCAGGCTGATTGCAGTTCATATGTGTAGTACGTATGTATGCTGGAGAAATTGAACCTTGGGTTTTGATTGTTTGATTGCAGTGGGAATTGACACGAGAGGGAATCAAGACCAAAGAAGGATTGCGTGTTTGATACCCTAGCAGATCGCCATTTCTCCTATGGCAAGGGTTCGTAGGGTGAAAGGGGCTATATTTAATTATATTTTTTCGAAAACCTATAATCATTGAATATTCTAATATATTTGTAAAATATTTGATGATAAATCCATTCTTATCGCATCACCTTTCATGTTCCTTATAGGGTACAAAATCATTCCTTATCAAACATCAGGCCAAAACTATGAATCCTCCAGCTAGTTTTCAGAAAAATCGTTTTTTCTCAGGGCACGAGATACAATACATTTTATTTCCTGGCTCAGAGAGACATCTATTACTTGCCTCCGGCGCTCACAGCATCCTCCCGAGCACCGAGAACAAACAACAGCCGACAGCCGACAGCCGTAACTACTGTAAAATTGTTTTGACTCAAAAACAGAAAGGAGTGGAACGGGGGAGTGGGAGTGGTGTGTCCGAGAAGAATGACAGACCAGACAGGTGATAGATAACAAGGACAGTCTATGGTCATTTTTCTACACCCACACCCGGGACACAGTCTCCTTCTCTGAGGGAAGAAAATAAAATGAAATCTGCCCGCAGCTGAATACCAATAACGTGCTGCTGTCAGTCGGCTTAGGAGGGTAGATGGTACGAGTGTTGAGGCACGCCGAGGACAGTTCCTAACTGCAGTTTCCGCTTATCTATATGTATGTATCTGGAATGTCTGAACTGTCGGCCGGCCTGCCAGAGCCTTGCCGACGACAGTGACTAAAACAATATAAATCCGCACAGTTTCAACTGATCAATAGAAACTGTTTCAAAGGCGTTAGAACAATAGAAATACTGAAAATGGAAGGCATTGTTTTTGGAAATCCAATTTTTATTCAACACACAGACTGACAATGCGATGATACGTTCGCTGATGGCTTGTTGTGTCCTTTAAGGTTACTATGAAAAATTAATGATATTTATCCTAGAACAGAAAAAGATTGTCTCACGAAAAATTACTCCAGATTTGAAATCGAAGTATACTCGTAATTATATTATATTAATTTATATTATTCGCCGATCCCAAAGTTTGCTTTGGAAATTCCTTCTCTCCGATTCAAGATTCATTGATAATTTAATTCATAATTAATTTGCAGGTATAATATTTGAGTGGAATGAAATTTCACAAATGTGCAAATGTATGCCAATTATCACTAATAGAAATACTGAACGAATTTCCCATGGTTACACAATTTATAATTTAATTTTGCAATTTAACAACGGACACAAAAGACCACGAGCTAGCCAAAGGAGTCTCCCAACAATTATGATAGTGATAATGTTGAGAATTAGTCAATGATTTTGCATTGCCATTGAACTGAGGATAATTGTGCCAGCTGTGTGGCCAGGCCGAATGATTCACCTAAATGAATACATAGTTCATACGCATTTGGTTTAATTTCCACTCATTGGGTGCTGTCCTGATTACCACATCTTAGGCCTAATGAGCAAAATTGAAATAACACACAGATGCAACGAGCAGACCCACACAAACGGCTGTAAATTAGTTGCATTTAAATTCCCCCTGCCAAGGATCTCTTCGAGGCTTGTGCTAGTGTTGTAGATGCTTGTGGGAAATTCCTGGGACTTGTTGGCCTTTCCATCCAGAGAGGCTGATTCCTGTATTTAAGCCATTAACATTTAATTGTAGATTTAAATGTATATATGGCTTCGTTTTGTGGTCCTGACATTTGAAACTGGATATGATTATTATTTTACGTAAAGCTTGAAAATGCATTTTACGGATAAACATTTTCATTTCGGAATTCCCTCAGAGGCAAA